GCTTCATATGTACCCCCATCATATGCTATTCCAACCCCCCAATTATTTTGTTGACAATTTTTTACAATCATGTGTCACTATATATATAAATAATTATCATTGTTGTCAAATTTACATTATAATTGTATCATTAAAACAAAAATTCAAATAATTTGGCTTATAGTTTTATCATGCAGAACCAACCCGATATATGATTTGTATGTGCTGCCCAATATTGGAAAACATTCTCACAATTCGAACTTTGAGCATAGGTCTATTAGACCTATTGACTTATTTGATTAACTCAAATCCTTGATTCATTGTTTTGAACAAAAGACTGATTGGGGATATCTTTTGTTCGCAGGAGGCTGACAGTGAGGAAGATGACGACTCGATATTTTGAGGTTTGTAATTTATAATGGGTAGGAGTAGATATATATATTGTTGTTAATATTTTTATTAAAAAATCTCAATCTGAATATACAGAAATCGGTTTGAACAAAATCATAGCAGATTTCCATACAATCTATATCTATATCTATATCTATCTATAGAGGTTGTTGGAAAAATATATTAATAGAAAGTTTGACCAAATAAATATAATGTTTGACTTACTATTATTGGAAAGTTGAAAAAAACACATGTGAATCTTTAGTAACAAAATTTGAATCCTATTTTTTTGGTAACAAATTTGGAGATTCTTAAGGTAAATTTGAATCTCATTTTTTTCATACCATGTTTAATTTTTTTACCAAAATTTAAATCATATCTTTTTTTGTAACAAACTAGTACTGACACGTGCGATGCACGGGCTGGCATATTATTTGGGTTTTTTTATATATCAACATTAAATTTAATGCACTTTGTGGATAAATAACATATATAAAATGGAAAATAACAAATTTAAAACTTCATAAATTAGTAAACACTTCGTTGTACACAACGTTTTGGGTTTGATTTGGTGGCAAGTCATCGTCATTACAGACTAATATCTTCAACCCACTTCGATTTGTGACACGGGAGGCGGCAACATATAATTGCCCATGACTGAACACCGGTTCTTAAGCAATAAACCAACATGGGATAGCGATTGTCCCTGACTCTTGTTGATAGTCATTGCATACGATACCATAACAGGAAACTGTCGCCTCTGGAACTTGAAAGGAATTCTGACATCAGAAGGAGTTATAGCCATTTTAGGAATCAATACCTTATCTCCCTCATGATCGCCAGTGAGTATCTTACACTCAATAACATGAGTGGATAGTTTTGTCACAACCAACCGTGTCCCTTTAAATTATACGTACTTATATGGTGATGTTTATCTTATTAGGTAAGTAAATGATATTTTGCAAATAATTTGAAAATAAACAATTAGAGCCGTAAGCTACATAGTTTGAGATGTGGTCAATATTTATTAATACTATCTGATATAACATAATAGTATTCGTGTAAGTTGAACAAAATAAATTATAGCCGTCATTTACATAATTAATTTTAAATTATTCTCAATATATGTTTTAAATTTAAAGTACTTATCAATTAGTTAATTAGAGATATGGCCTAAATTTATTAGTAGTTATCAATATCAATTTGTGTACTTATCTAAGATTTCAATTAATTTGTATATAATTATCTAATATTATATAAAATAATATGAAAAAGCCTTGACTTTCACAACTTCTTCGGCCGTTATTTGGACTTATCTCGACTTTTAATTTTTATTGTGTAACACAAAATCCGGTGAAATTAAAGGTGGCATATACTCACGTGAATATAGTTGATCTTTATCTCCTCTTCTATATTTATCTTATTGGGTAAGTTAATTAGAGATGTGGTCAAAATTTATTAGTACTTATCAATTTGTGTGTTTATCTAAAAGTTCAATTACATTTTATATAATTATCTAATTATATTAAATAATATTAAAATTGCTACACCATTACCTTAAAAAATAAATTCCACGAATAATTAATATGAAGAAATTTATATTACATTAAATTTAAAAGTAATAACAAAACAATAATAAAATAGAGTAGGCATTAATCGGTTAAAATAAAACAAAATGTCATAGATATTGAACAGCAATACTAAATTATTTGAAAAATTGAAAACGCAACAATGAAATCGATAAAAAGCGAAATAAAATAATTCTTCACAGCACGACAACAATTATCACTCTTCCTATCCCCACTGTCATGCATTTCTATTCAGCTCTCCATCACAATATTGGAGTTGGTGACGTACATATTTGGCTTATACCATTTGCTGCTTAGAAAACTGTGTACACAATTTTATATAATATATGAAAAAAATAAATAAATTAATTAAATAACAAAATGATAATTGAAAATATATACACAAAATATATACAACATCTATATAAAAAGTTCAAAAATAAAATAAAGTGTCAATTGTTCGCGAACACTTACTTGGTGCGAAAATGTATAATTTCCGAAACATTAGAAGCAAAAAGGCGTGTCACATTTAGATATGAACTCAATTGATACTCACTTGTTGCAAAACAAAAATATATGTTAAATTGTAATCTAAATTATGTATAATATCATTATTTATTTTATATTATAATATAAAAAAAAACACAAATTCGAAATACCTGCAATATTTTTTTATCCTACATAATTGCATGATGAGAACCCATAGTTTTCCATCGTCCGCAACTTGGAAGTAATTTTCACAAAAAAGAAAGTCTTGAACATATCACCCCAAACTTCGCAACGCAACACTAATCCACTAATTAATAAAAAAAAAAAAAGTTAACATCTTGAATTGTTCATACAATTTACAAATACATAATTCATGTAATACATATATTTCTTACTTTAAATCCATCATTGAAAAAGATATCCCTTGCTTTTCTTCTCCATTTATCAAATATAAATTAATGGGTCGAACTTCAACAACCATACCAATAGCATCTACAATAGATATTAGTAGAAAAATTATGTAATATTTTATTAATTAATATATCAAATCAAACAATAAAAAAGTATAATTGAAAAAAATTCAAATACACCAATAAATAAAAGATGTACCATATAGGATTGACTCGTCGACAATGTCATCATTTTGAAGAAATGCAAAACTATGTAAGTCGAATTCCCATGTAGGGAAAGTAGATAGCACGTGAACGACCTGAGTATCCTCATAAATTATAACTTTGTAGTCTGCATTAGTAGATCTAAATATATCAACGTTTAGCTCTAGTCGGTAGTTGGTAAATATGTAGACCCCGCCCTCCTCAAGCAATCCAACAAATATGGGCTCACCACGAACTATACCCGTTATTCGT